AAGATAACATTGCTGAGCTTGATTCAGACCTTTGTTGACACTATAGTTTATCCTTTGGCATTACAATGATTATAAATAAGATCATATTTGGATCCCAACTAGCAAATGAAGAAAAAGCCCAAATAGTTTCTGTAGATCTTAGTAGATAGGGAGAGTTAAGGTGAAATAAATAACTCACAGTCTGGTATTTTCAGTCTGTGTAGCTCTCACAAGCCTTTCATCTTGGAGGTAATGAGAACCTTACAAGGCATCTTAAGGTGATAATTGGACCAAGGATTTCCAGGTGGAAAAAGTGATTGCTTGGCTAAAGAGTATGATGTTTTGTGATGCAGAAGAGTAAGAGACTTATGATAGCTCTTTGTTCAGGTGAAGTTTAGGAGATTTCTTGATTAGAGTTCAAGCCAACAAAAAAAAATATTAAATGCCTGCTTAATGCAGTATGCATTATGACAAGGGGAAAAATGCAATGCTCATGGTGCTCTTGAATTATTTAATGATCCTGAGCATAATTACCAGGCTGTCTCAAGTAATATGTAATTCTTCTCGAATTATATTGCATTTACTCTCTAATTGCAAAGTGGATAGAAAGCTAAATGGGTCCTTGTAATAAAGTGATGCAGTGTTTAGAAGCCTTGTCCAGTATGATTCAAACAACTAGGAAAAAAAAAAAAAAAAAAAAAAGACCCAAAACAATTCTCCTGTTCCTGGGTAATGAAGAAATTTAAAAAGTATGATGTTCACTCATTTGGAATTAGGACTTTTTTTTTGCCCTTCCCCCTGCACCCTTTTTTTTTTTGCCTGTCTGTACTAGTACCATTGCATTCTATTTTCCACAATGCATTTATTATATGGCGCTTTCTGCCCTGGGAAACTGGAGAAATCCGTGTATGGTAGATGTTGCACCAAAGATATAGAATGCTTCCTGTCTCTGATTCACAGGAAGGCAGTTCATGGGTGAGTACCAACAATGTTTTTATGTTTGTTTGTTTTTGGTTTTGTTTTGTTTTGTTTTACTGTAGACTGTTTAATATTTCCATTTTCCTGGAGGAAAAAAAAGTGGTGAGTCCATGTTCTAACCATGATGGTATATCTTCACATACCATACTTTGATACTTGGTGGGGAAATAAAAATCATTTTATTTCCAAAAGTCAGCTATACCAGGAAGAGGTAGTTTTTTTTAGGATCTTCAGACCCTATTCATTGCTGACTTTGGTTGGGACCCTTGGTTTAGTACAGAATAGAGGGTCAGGGTCCCAAAGCACTATTCTGCTCACATGCAGACCTTTCTGCATGCTGGGTGGTACAGCTCTGTTCCTAATCCTAGTGGAAGTTGATAAAAGTTTTAGCAGTGATGTTAGCAATTGCAGGACGAGTATTTAAGGTTGCCTGCATATGAGACAGATCTTCACCTTGTGGGCGTTAATGGAAAGACCATTCTGCTTTGGGGGGGGTTCCCAAGCAGGTCTTGTATGAGTGGCAGGTCCTTGTCAATAAGTATGCAAGAAATGTTTATCCTTCTGAGAACTCTGACTACAGAACTGGCATTAGTTTGCAGGTCAGGGCACTTGTTTCCAGCAAAATGTCTGAACTTGTTTCTTAAAGGATTTTAAGTTCTGTAACACAAAAGCAAAGCGCTTATTAATTTGTAAATACTCTTAAAGATCACATGAGAAAAAAGCATTTCTTTTGAAAATATTTTTTCCTTTCCCTCTCCCAACTTGAAATAAACTATCATACTTTCTAATGTAGCTGTTCTAAAGAAAAACATGTTTTGGTCAAAAATATCAAAACAAAACTGGTTCTTTCTCAATAAATTAGAATTGCTTACACAAAAGTGTACTAACATCTGTCCTGAGACTACCTCCTCATTCTGCTGTATCCCCTTAAGATATGTTGGAAAAGCAGAATGTGTTATCGCAGTGCTGTGCCTCTAATAATCATTAAAGACTATTTAAGAGAGAATTTCTCAGATAAAATTTGTTTTGGCTTTATTTACTATTTAATATTAAGTATTTCAATATTAACAAGTTATATTAATAACTTCTTACTGGCTTGATGAACAAACATGAAAGAAGCAATTCTTAGAATTTGTAATCAAAGCACAAATGATAGCCATCATTTCTGTGTCACAGTAATGAATAGCTAGAGGAAGCAATATAGTCTGAAAGGCTTTCTGAATGTTAAGTGTAGAGTTAGCTGGTTGACAGTCTTCAGTTTGATTTCTTGGTTTGCTGAGAAATTCTGCTCAGCACCTTTGCAAACTGCCTAAAAACAATAAAAGAAGCTTTTTAACTGTGTTTGTTTCTTTGGCATATATGATACTGCCTTAGCCTTCTGATACAACCACTTGGGATGCAGCATTCATAATGTAGGTTTCCTGTCATACTGGCACCTAGCAGGTTGCCATAGTGACAGACATAAGAAACATTACTTCAGAAATGTTGCTTTATTAGAGTTAAAGTGCATTTTAAAAAAAGGATCAAATTTCAAGTTACTCCCTCTGTTTTTTACAGGAATAAGCAGAATTATTGGTTTCTACTAATAGTTGTTTTGAACTTGCCCATCCCCAAACAAATACATTTAAAAATAAGTTGCAGTATACTGTATGTGCTTTGCACTACTTTTTAGTAAAATAGACCAACATTCCCCAATTTTTCTCTCTAACAGTACACACATACACATATTACTGCTTTGCTATATTTAAAACTGGCTCTGCTTTCAAACAGAAGTGCTAAGTCACTGCCTTCTTTGACATGCCATATCTTTTATTTATAAGGAATATCTTACTTCAGACTCCATCTATTTTGTTCACATTAATGTAGAAGAGACACAGAGGAGGACATCTGGGGAGATTTCTGAAGTATTCATGACTATGTTATGTTCCAAGAAATTAATCAAATAACAAGCATTGTGCAAGCAACAGAGCCGCCTAGCAGGTCTGTGCTGAGCAAATCTCTAAGATCTAAGATGGGCTTCCCCACATGAACATGAAGCCTATGGAGATTCAAGCTGAAAAACTCATCAGCCATGCTATCGTCCTGCAGTGCAGATACCATCACACAGCTGGGTCAGCCCTGGGGCTATCAGCATCCCACTTCTCCACTGATTAAACCTATCCCTGCTATTTTGCCTAATAAATAATATTAAAGGATGCACTCATGAGGAGGAGGGGCTGGGGCACATCTTAGAAACAGGTGAATTGAAGGTATGCAGGAGAAATGTTTAGCCCCCTGAGAGCGTTCTGGCTGCAGGGCTCCCATTCTCTGCAAATGCAGGTGAGTGAGTGTTTATGATGCCTGACGAGCATGGTCATACAGACACAGGATGCCCTGCTGCCCTTCTTACATGCATGTAGCACCAGCAGTCTGCCAGCTAGTGAAAAGCATTCTTCCCTGAAACATTACTGAAATAGCTAAAGTATTTCATTCTTGCTATTTAAAACTGTACGTTAGAGATGATGTACAGTGCTGTACATGACCTAGTTCTGTTCATCCAGAGAAGCAACTGCATTTCTGTGCAACTCATGCAGGCAGTCATGACTGCAGTCAAATGTAAAATCTTCACCTTCTTGCAAGTTACACCTTTCCATTCTGTTAAATGTCACTTTGCTGTACACAAGCAGTAAACAGTTAAACCAGTTTAAAGTACAGTTTGTACCCTGCAACCATTGCCAATTCTGCATTTAAAACACTAGATTTTGAACCTAGAAGAAGAAGCCTATGTTACTCCAATAGCTGAAAGCTGTCCTATAAGGAAATTGCATTACAGAACTATTGACAATTAATAATAATATTGTGGCCAGTTGATTGCCTAACAAAAGAGGAATACACTATAAAAAGTTCCTACTACTTTTTGAAACAGCATAGATCTAGATTTAGATTTTACAGCTTGTTCTTTGACATCCTTTGCTTTCCATTTCTGTAACTCATAATCAGAGACAATTTCTTTTGGAGATGACTGCAAAGGATAGATGTAGTATTCAAATCCTGTACATCTAATTACATGTGTACTAATAGCTTATAATAACTAGCCACAAAGTAAAGTGCTTACTTCAAACCTACACAGCGTACTCCTGAAACATACAGTCCAAGTCAGATCCCTTCTTAAGAGGATAGCCTTAACGTTTTAACAGCTCTTTTCTTCCCAGCTGCTGTGAGCCCTTGTTCTCCAGGCTGGGAACTCTGAGTTACTCTAAAATTCCCTCAGTGCACCCCATGCTGTGAACACTAATAGTCTTCCTCTTAGAGAGATTAGACTTATTTTACGGTTGCTCATTCCTCATCTTTCTACTTAAGCATACCTGGATCTATTTCCATTTATTTAACACAAAACTTCAAGTACCACTACAAGCAATAAGCACTATCACTGGATGAATTATTGTCTTGGATAATTTTATTTTCCTATCTGTCAGTTAGCAAGTGGACAAAGAACTAAATTAAAGCGTAATGCTCTGTGTTAAGAATTGTCATTTAAAAAAATAACACAACTATCTATTAAAGTAAAATTCATCATGGCTTTCCTTTGAAGAGAGACTGTACAAGTTTCCACAGTGAAGCATAGAAAAACTAATATCATTCCACCTCAGTCCTTTCAAAAAATTGTCAGTAAAATTGGTGGTTTGTCCAAGAAAGAATCATAAGATCCTGAATGTGCAGGAGTTGAACCCTGGTTCCTGATCTCAGTTTCATACCTCTCATGCTAATATTGGTTATACGAATGTAAACTGAAGAAAGTTTGGTAAAGTCACAGAGATATGAAACTTTGCATATGTTAAGGACTGGGGCCAAAGGCTCGCATCCAAACTCCGTAATTTTGGTTTAATTCAGACCTATCAGCACCATTATTTAAGTGGTTATCACTAGGCAGCTGTATACTGAAATAACAAATGATTAACATGAAGGTAGGGAGTGGAGTAGTAAGAAGTATTTTTTCTACAATAACTCGATTTTAGTATGATTGTTTGATTTCCAAGACATGTCAGAAAAAAGAAAAAAAAAAGTTATAAAAAGAAGATGGGGTTCTGGCTAATTTAAAAGACGGAAAGAGAATTTAGCTTGGATACACTAAAATAAATTAATTTTTCTGTAGGACCTTGGAGAAGATTCCGATTCAATGGGCAATCAGCTGAATTTACACTATAGCAGCATGTAAACTGAGGTATTTGGACATATCTTTGTGGCTTTTCATTATACCTTTGGTTAAAAAGCAAGCAAGCAGTTAGCTGCCTGTGCAGTGCTGTGAGTGGGACTCTCTGGGTGGATGCTGGGAGCCTTTGCAGGATCTCACCTTTGAACATTTGAGCAACAACTCATACAGCATTTTCTATTTTTTATATGCACCAGAGCAATTATTTAGGCTCAGTGAGCCATTTCTTACTTTTAATTGCATCAAAACTAGTCTCTTACATAGTACTGAGGTTTAAGGAAATACCACACAGTTGTTAGTGGTGATGTACTGCAGTCCCTTATTTGTATATATTATGATATACACGACCCGAGTCTCACTTAACACACAGATGGGAAGATGCTATCTTCACTTAATATATTTTAATGTCATTTTACTATGTAGTCCCATGTATAAACTACTTTACAACTTCTCACAACTTCTCAACTGTAATCTGAATACAGAGGTTAATGTTTTTTTTTTGTTTGTTTGTTTTTTGTTTTTTTGGGGGGTGGGGTGGGGGGAGAGGTGAGATAGGGGTGTGTGTGTAGGGTGAGGTTTTAACCACAGTGCCACAGGGACTGCCATAATGTCAGTATGATGAAGTGACTAAAATAGTCATTGAGAAAACTGCACAGGAGTGTTTCCTATTGCCATTGTATTCAGGCAACACTTACACAGTTCAGCAGTATTTCAGGTAGTTATTTGTAGCAGTAGGAAAAGCTCAATCCTGAGAGCAATTGGTCTTCATACAAAATCTTAAATTCCTTCAGTAAAGATGGAGTACACTAACATGATTTTGACATGGCACTAGAAAAGAGTAAAAATAATTAACATGGGGAAAACATCCCCATTTTCTCGTCAAGAAGAGACTGAAACCCTCTTCTAATGAAACTTTAAAAGTATGAGTAAAAATAAGAGCAGGAACCTGGCATGGAGCACTGAAGACCATGCAGTTTCAGCATGGCACAGGCAAACATAGTGGGAAATGTCTGCAGCTGTGATTGTAGGTAAACGTTGGTGGTTCTTCTGAAAGGTAGTCCCTGATTTGAATGCTCATGAATTATGTGGACGCAGAGCTGAAGGGCATAATTTTCTGCAGATTACACCAAATCCTGTGGAAGAAAATGTGCATCAGGAGTAGTTACAACATCAGTGTGCTGCAAAGAGCACACTGAATTTGGCATTCGGAAAGACGAAGGTATCTAAGGATCTAGCTATTAAGCTTGAGTCAAATTGGTGACCTGGCTTTTCTCAGGTGTGGGAAAAGGTGTGGAAGGAAGCAACACATGACAGACTTTTTATGAGGTGGTATTCTGTATAGCCTCATGCAAACATTGTCTTTTCTTTCCTTACATCCCTGCATGAAGCCATGCATTTGTGGTTTGCTGTGTAATTAGTTTTTGTGCTGAGAGAAGACAAGAGAACTTCTTGTTGGATGGATTAAAGGGATCTGCGCTCTACAGCATTTGAGTGACAAGAACCATGTCAGACCAGTCTGCTGTCAAGCTGAGGATAAGTAACAGAGCAGTTTGCTCTGTCAGAGAGAGACAAGTTTTCCCACTTATGAGTGGCAAGAGACAGGCATAAACTAGCCCCTTCAAAGAGCAGCCATAGGTGACTGGGTCAAAACAACTGGAGCAGAGTTGATAGAAGTAAGTCCTGTAAGCAAAGAGCACAATTCCTCTTTGGCTTAGTGGAAGCTCTCCAGCTGAGACTTGTATCTTCCCAACAGGAGAATCAGAAAATGATGTCAGGTCTAAATGGGGGAAGGGGAGGAAACAGGTACAAGCTTTGAGCAAATATTTCCTGCATTGTGGACACTGATTTGGAGTAGAATTTACATTTCAATATTCAGTAACAGTAATTCTTGTATAGTAAAAGAAGAGGGAAAGTATATTGATAAAATATGATGACAAAAACAGAGTTCCCTTTGCCTTTGGCTCAGTGTGAATGTATCTGAAATTCAACCTTCAAGTCAACCAGCAGCTGAACCAGAATAAACGATGAGGAAATGAGTGAGAGATTCTCTTTTTGGCTTTTAGTTGCCAGGAGTTTTGCTAACAACAAATGTCAGTTCAGCAGAAAGCATGAGAGTGCTATAGAGAGATTGAATATACACTGGGCTTGTGCTACTGCTACTTATCCCCTTCGAAGTCCCCACAAATGGGGAAAGCTCAATGATGGTCTACTTGGATTTCTGAATTTCTCAATCCTGCTTATTGCATTAAGATTAATGTCCAAAATAGTTGGTTCTCAGTTTCACAGACTCTCACAGCATGCCAGCAGCATCAATTATTTGAAGTCCATATCCTTCAAGTGCAGCAGAAGTAAGCTGCTGAGGAAGGGATACTTACAGTTTGGATTTGTAGAATTAATTCCATGCTGGGAAAAAAACTTCCTCTAAAGTGGAATTGTACTTATGCTCTGAAATCTGGAAACAAATCAAATATACATTTCCTATCTCTAGTTTGTATAAACCTAGATACATTTTACTGAAAATTTTTGCTGAATATGGAGATTGCTACCTTGAAATTATATGTTAAACAATAACTTACTAAACAACAGGCTTTGGCTAATAATTTCATCTCAAAAGACTGGAAAAGGATCACAGAAGCTCTCATCTCATGGCATTTCCGTTTCTGCAGTCCTACCTATTGGAAGTGCGATTTAGTGCTCCTCTTGCTCTCCTCCTGTCTACACGTATTTGAAATCAGGAGTGCTGACATGTGCATGAAAAAATGGTATGAAAACAGTAACATCTGGGGAAGATGAAGGAAGAAAGCTAGAAGCCTTTAGATGTTGCTACAGAGAATTGTTATTTTTCAGGAAATGGGCTACTACTACTATAAAAGGGCAAGGAGAAAGGAGACACAAGAAGTTTCTCTAGTGACATTAGTCATGTCACTTCGTAATCAGCTTGTTTTCTTTCAGCTTTTACCTCTTAGTGTGTTTGGGAGAGGTGGATGAATGCAGATGCTTGTGCAGTCTTGCATGAGAACTAATACTGAGAAAATTTAAGAACAGTCATGCCTGTCTGTAGCTCCATTGCCTGCTGTTCAGTCATTGATTCATGCTTCGTTTCAGAGATGTCAAATTTTACTGTGTAAAACATGAACAAATCTATAGTGACTCTACACAAAAGCAGAACGTATCCAAATGTGCTGGCAGGAGCTACAGGGTTAAAATTAGTAGGCAGAAGGATGTCTACTGTGTCTTCTCCACTACAGCCAGCCACCTGCACTTGGTAGTGCAAAGCATGCTTAGGGCTGGGCTTGGGTACACTGAGCTTCCCCCTTCATCCCATGAAGCACTGGCATTGCATCTTTGCCATGGTTTGAAGATTGTGTCCAGCTCTCTGTGGGGCAACGCTTTGCATTCTCTCCCTCTGCACATGTGCAATTACAGGCACAGACTACTATGTCAAATAAGCATCTGTAGCTATAAAATTATCACCAGAGCTTAGACTGCAGACGTGCTGTAACTACATCTGACCACGGGGACTGGTATAGTCTCATCATTACCTTATGTCTGCAGATCTTTTTATGATCTTTACCTGTTGTGAATCATTGTATACCTAGATTGTCAGCTTTTCGGGGACAATAATGATGGCAACATCAGTAAAGCTGCAGTTTACATGGATTAATGTGTGGTAGAAAGATGTGTGCCAAAGCAATGGTGAAACTACTGTGAAATGTGTGAGGAGTAATAGGGTAAACAGGGCAAAGAAAGTGATTTAAATGCCCCAAAGAGAAATGAACAGCTGTGCAGGAGATGAGGAAATAAATCATTTGGTGATGATCAACAAAATGATGGCAAGAAAATAACCAGCAGGGTGACCACAAAACCAGACATGTGCAAAGGGCGAGGCTCAGAATAGCAGCAGTATAACCATTTGGTCAATAGTAACAGTGTTGAAGTTGAGAATTGCATGCAAAGCTTTTAGAGCATATATAACCCATAAAATCATAAAATCTACAGTCTCTGTTTACAAAGTGACAATTGTCTTCTCTTTCTCTTTCTTTTTCTCTCTTTCTCGCTATCCACCTTACTCTATGACTCTGAAATGCAGACAAGTTAGCACAAGAACATCAGAGAAACAAAAAATCATTAATCAACAATACCTTCAAGCTATTATGCTTATAAGTGTCAAGACAAAAATAATGAGTAATGATTTTCTGCAACACATTTTCACAAATGGTTTTTAAAAAATATCAGCTTTTCTGGACCACACTTTTTCTCCAGCTGAAAGACATGAACATGTTAAAACACAGTAGTGTTTAAATGGACCTATAAAATGTAAAAAAAGGATGAAAGATCTAGGAAGATCTTGTCTATAGTGACTTCAAACTCAACGGCAGCAAGAAGCCAATATGGCAGATTCAAGTGACTAATTGGGAAAGACTTTCACACACCAGTTAGAAGCCAGAGAAAAGGGCTTCTGCATTCATTTGTCATGTTGTGGCCAAAACTCAAGAATCAGCCATTTTGACAGTCTTGTAACTCTCAGAAGCCTTTGCAAACAGAAATTCATGATGGTCAACTGCAACTAGAACTTTTATTTTTCCATGAATACTTGGTGCATTTAGTTGCCTCAATTTAAGAAAATCTTTCAGATTTTCTGGCCAAGAACTCAAACAGAAGGCATGCAGGCATCTGATATTTTCCTGTTGTTGGATATGTGCAATATGATGCAAATATTGCCTACATCCTGCTTCCGTTATTGCCTTGTTATTATTTGAAAATAGAATTTCTTATTAAAATTCTACACATCAGGAATTTCTTCATTGCATTTAAGATGAACAAACACCTCAGAAATAGTATCATTATAAAGGGCCAAAGTGTTTGCTTTGTAAAACATTATCTTAACAGGGAAAAAAAGGGGGGGGGGGGGGGGGAAGGGGGATAGGTCAAATAAACTTTTACAGAACTCCCATAACTGGAAAATTGTCAGCCCATTTCAATAAAATGATCTTACGTTCATATTATCAGCTGAGATAACAGTTACTAACATTCTGCAGATTTTAATGCTTGCATTTTATACTCTTAAGACATAGCAGTAGGAAGGGAAATGGACAGCTAAGAAGCTGTACCTGGATGTGGTCTTTTGTTAAGACTTTGATGACTGTGTACTGCCCATTTGGAGACAGGAGCAGTAGCTGCATGTTGCAATGGTCTCAGCCTTGGCAGGTGCAGTGTGGGGGATCCGCTGCTGTTCCCCAAGCCCAGACTCTGCCACAACAGTAGACCATGGCCTGACAATGACAGCCAGAGATGCCAGTGGCAGTGGTACACAGGCACAACTTTGGAAGCAGATGTGGTGTTTCTTGAGAGCAGGAGGTATGTGACACAACCATGCATATCTGTGAATTCTACTGCACAGCAAAGCCATTGCCTGTAATGTTCTCCAACAATTCCTTTGGAACATTCTGCTTTGTGAAATGTCACTCCTTCATTCCCTACTGCAGTCAAGGATCCTATGTCCTTATCTTGACATTAAAGAAATGGATTTAATTGTCAGTCCTCTAAAACAAGCGTTTAATTCCATTCTGTGGGGAATAAAGACACTCTTAAATAATTGAGCAGCTAAGAGATTGGTTATTTCTGTTTTCATTGCCCATATTGATTTAAGTGTAGTTAATCCTTTCAAATACCCATGTCACACAGGGCCCGATGGCTCTCTTTAGGGCAATATTGTTCCTCTGGCTAGATTATTGGACATCAAGCATTGTAATGCCACAATAAATCCTTCATATGGGCTGTTCTTTTCAAAGAGAAGTACCAGATGGGGACTTTGCCTCTTACATTAAACTCTTGGTTTTACTAGTCAGAAGTTGGGTTTGTGAATAATTTTCATTAAATTTTCTTTTGTGTCTCATAAAAGCTACCTCTACAACAGTGTCATTAAATAATCAGAAGTCCAATTAAACAGGCATGTGGACATAAAACAAACCAGGGTGTTCCCCTCACTGCAAATTAAATATACTTGTGTGTAAAATAATCTCGTTTGGGATATAAACCAGTACAGAGCTTGTGGAATAAATTTTTCCGGTACAGAAGTAAGTATGTCTGAAGCCAAGAACTAACAGACATGTTTTTCAAGTCATTGCAAGGTTACTCACTTCTAGTTATGTCCTATATCTGTCTATCTACCTTGAGTTCATAGAATCATAGAATGGCTTGGGTTAGAAGGGACCTAAAATATCAGCTAGGGGATCTTAAAGGGATCTTAAAGATCTTCCCTGCCAAAGGCAGGGACACAACCCACTAGATCAGGTTGCTCAGGGTCTCATCCAACCTGGTCTTGAACATCTCCAGGGATGGGGCATCCACACATTCTCTGGGCAACCTGTTCCAGTGCCTCACCACCCTGTAAGTGAAGGTTTTCCACCTAACCTCTAATCTAAATCTCCCCTCTTTTAGTTCAAACCATTCTCCCTTGTCCTGTCATTATCTCAAAACAAAAATTATCAAAACAAAAATTTGCTCTCCATCTTTATGTGCCCTTTTAAGTACTGAAAAGCTGCAATAAAGTCACCTGAGAGCCTTCTCTTCTTTAGGCTGAACAACTCCAGCTCTCTCAGCCTTTCTTCATAGAAGGGCTGCTCCAGTCCTCTGATCATCTTTGTGGCCCTCTGCCGGACCTGTTCTAACAGATGGAATTCCTTCTTGTGCTGGGAACCCCAGACCTGGACGCAGTACTCCAAGTGGGGCCTCAGAAGGGCAGAGTAGCAGGGGACAATTCCCTCCCTTCACCTGCTGGCCACTCCTCTGTTGATGCAGCCCAGGATGCATTGGGCATTCTGGCCTGCAAGCACACACTGCTGGCTCATGTCAAGCTTTTCATCCACTAGAGCCACCAAGTCCTTCTCTACAGGGCTTCTCTCAATGAGTTCTATTTTGAAAATGAGTTTATTTTGCATTCCTTATTTTTCCATGTTAGCTATTTCTTTGTGAGCTTTGTTCCCTAGCTATGGCCCATATCTTAAACTTTTCTACCCAGGAACAGGCTGGGCCATTGAGATACAAGGCTGGCTGCAAGTAGGTTGGACCTGGTACTTAGGGACATGGCTTTGTAGGTGACATTGATAGTAGGGTGATGGTTGAACCAGATGATCTTGATTTCAACCTTAATGATTCTATGATTCTAGGTGAGTGCAACAGCAGGCAAAAAGATTTATGGTATTTCCCTCCAGTAGTAATTTTACTGTAAGCTGTTGTACAGGTAAGAAGCAGCAGCATGACAACTCAGGGAAGTACAGTCATTATGTACCTTTTTCATGCCACAAATGGAAGCAAAATGAACTGTTGGTATTTCAAATGTCTAGATATCCATGAGACAGTTGACTTCAATGTTTCCAGTAGTAATTATTTCAGCAGTCTGATAAAAATCATCTCTACTGCACATTCAATATAGAAAAATATATACACTGTCCCTTTCCTGCCTGTTGATATAACCCAGAATTTACCACCATGTTCACAATGTATTTTCCATGTACTATACCACATTCCTGAGCAGCAGGTAAGCAGTGCGTTGCTGGGTGGTTGCTGCTGGAGGCATGTGATGAATGAGATCAAAGGCTGCTTAGTTTCAGACAGCCCAGAGCTCAGCAGTTACTCTGGATATGCCAGCTGGGGTGCATGGAGTGACAAGGTGGTGGGAACACTTCTCTGCTGGGACCTGCTCTCCCTTCCCTCCATCCCAAAGGGAAAGCTCTACTGTATACAGCAACTGTTTACACCTGTCTCTTTCTAACTTGTTTTTAACACATTGGCAAAATCTGCACTTTGCTCCCTGCATCAGAAATGTCCAGGACATGGATGAACCATCCTACCCCAAATGCTACTTCTCTGTGCTGTTCCCACAGATAACAAGCACAACTTTACACTGACCAGTTAAATGGCTAGTACCATGCAGGTATGCACACAGGAAAAACAGGACCAAAGCTTGACTTTCTGATATCCCTGTGGCAGTGGGCAACAGAGCTAACAACAGGATTAACCAGGCGTAGTTCTCATCTCACTGACAGGGCACTACAGACCACTGAAATTTTCCTCTGGATCTATTATATCAAAATTTAAGATAATGTTTCTACTTAAATTCTTGATAATCAGCCAAGAGCACTAAAGTCCTGGCCAGCCGGCCAGTTCAAAAGACATTGCTCTCTCCTCTTCTAATTTAAGTTTTATCACAGCATTACTTTAGAAGCAGCAATAGCAGGACCAGGGTTCATAGTATCCATTCAGGTTTCAGTCTGCAATGTGGGAAGTGAGTGACTCTAATATCAATGATCTTGAAGCTACCTGCACCAGTCCACCTTTACATTAACTTAGGGAAAAAAAAAAAAAAAAAAAAGTATATGTATTTAATTTATTGATAAGAAATTCAGTTTTTATGGCTTTTTTTTTTTTTTTTTTTTTTTTTTAGTAACCAGATGTGTACTTGAATTTCCTGAATTTTATGTATCATCTGGATGAAGCATCTGGATCCACCTCATTGTGTAGCCTTTACTGACACAAAATATTTTGGACTGGCAGGTAAAGGAAACCAGAATCAGCTGGTAGTGTTCAGCTTGCTCCAAAGCCTGTTGGATTGCCCTTAATGACTACATTAAGCTGATCGGAAGCAGAGGGAAGCTGGTAGCTATGCAAGATACTGGACTTGCTTTCTGATTCCAGCTCAGTCAGAGTGCTATTTTCCTATATCTCTGTGAGCCGTGAATTCTCACTTGGACTCATCCAGGAGACAGAAATGTTTCTGTGTATGGAACTGGAAACATGGTCACTAGTCAGCTAAATGCATCTGCCACTGGTGGAACCTGGAAGAACAACAAACTCACATTTCTATGGACTCCTAGCAAAACATAACCTGTTTTTTTTTCCCCTGAAGATAAAGATAAATTTTCACAGACACAACGCAGCCACACTGTATTTATAGCTGCAGATGGCTGCTCTTTCCCCTTAGCCTCACAAGTATGTATATTAAACAATAGGAAACTCTGCAGAGGTGTTTTTCTTTGTTTTGTTGTATGTGAGCCTGTCATTTATGCACACCCTCTGTGGAAAATATCCCCTCCCTTTTCTGCCATTTGAATGATGTTTCCCTTCAGGGGTATTCTTCTCTGAAAAGTCAAATTAATGTGTTCTGTGTGGTGTAGCATACAACAAATGCCATGAACTCCTCCCCTCAAGCAAGCTGAACAATCCCTGCAGACCTGTGCAGGCATCACAGGCCCATTCTTAATATTCCAGAAGTGACTTTTACAATTGAATAGGTTATATGGTATGTTGTGTGCTAGCAGTGTCACTGGCACTGTCAGAGTACAGCATCTTGATTTGATTGCACCAAATGTCCTAATGTCAGAAAATGCATGGGAAATAGCGGCTGGGTTTGTTCAGTGCCCTAAATTAACATGCATAACTGGAAGTGATCAGAGGAGCATCTTGAAGATGATGCAATGGTGTTGGTGTTGGCCAAGATGAACACTCAGAAGATCCATCTTGTCTAGAAACCTTCTCAGCACGGATAACATTTCCAAAAGTGTATCACACCAGATTTCTACTTTTCTTAAAAAGTGTGATTAATATAAAAATGGATAATTTTTTTAGCACAGGATGGACATAATTTCCTTTGTTTCCCAATTTTGCTCTGTTACTTTGAGGGCTGAGAGTGGTATTCAGGATTACCTTCACTTGCAGGGTTAATATGGACTTAATATTTCAGAAGCATAAAATGTTTTCCAGAGATGTGTGGAGATCTTCAGGGAAGAGAGATGCAGGAAAGGAAGGAAGCTTCATATAGTATTAAGCGTTATCTTTTCACTGATCACATAGACAATCCATCTAGTTGCTCCACAGCAAAATAGTCTTCTGTTGTATTAACTTTTCCACATGGATAGTCGATCCTGAATATGCAGTATGCTACAACCCCAACTTTTCAAACCTAAACTCAGCAGTGCATATACAGAACTGTGCCAACGATGGAAATGTGTGAATTCCTGGCACCTGTATCAGTGTACTAGCTGGACTGCAAACCTTGGCACAGTCCAATGCTTTGTTCATGCAATCCTTTTCCAAGCCTGTCCTCATTAGCTCTGCCTTTCCTGTTGCAATGCAGATTGCTAGTCCACTTTGAAGGTTATTCTCAAATTACCAAGCACCTCATTCAGAATAGAAATTTTACCTCCTTCTTCAGCAAGAGCAGCTACCACTGTCCATAAGTTAAATAGGTTTAAAATCTCTTCCCTGTAGATCATTACATGTCTATCATGGCTCTTCTTTATTCTAACTAGAATGATGAGGTTCATGAGTAAAAATATATTAGAAACCAGACAGACAAGGAAGGTCTGCAAACACAAGCAAGTGGGGTGTTTCAGACTTTATGTGTGCAAGGCTGTAGTTTTTCATTATATTTATGGGTTGTAGAAAAATCAGTTTCGCATCTGTTCACTGAAGAGACTGCAGAAAGCATTAATGTCTATTACTTGTCTGATCAAGCTATTTACAGCATAGAAGTGCAACACTTTTTTTTTTTTTTAACAACAACAACAAAAACAAAACAAATCAAAACAAAACAAATATTGATTGCCATTCTTCCATTACCTTGCCACAGAGCTGCCCTAATCTCCTTCTGGGTGGTCATAAAAGATCTAGAGTCTGCAATGAGGCACAGATACATGTTCAGTTCAGATTATTCTTTCCAATGTACGTGATCACATTTTTTTCCCAGTTAATTTTAAGAAATAAACTTTACTGTCAAATCCTGCCCTTATTAAATAACAGTTTAGATATTTGATGCATTTTTAAATGACATTTTGAAGAAGTTTTCTTAAGATTATAATGGAGACAGTCTGTCAAGAATGCAGTGAGCAAAAGTGAAGGGGAACATTCCAACGGCATTACCAAGGCCCTCTGCAACTGCACACCCAGCACACAGGCTTTGCTTCGTTATGCCTAAAGGTGTAAGAATAGCTGTGAACAGCTAATAAGAATCAATGCTATTGGAGACATCTGTTTCGGTTTTCATTTTTCAGTGTTATTAGTGCTTATTGGTACAAGGCTCAGGAATGTAGCCAATCCCTTTGAAGTTAAGTGTGTTGTAAGGCTAGAGGCATTGTGAGCCTTACTGATGACCTTGTGTGTAACCTTTCAATTAAACATCCACAGTGCATGGAATGAGAAAAGACCTCCAAAAAGTGAAGTCTCTTATACTGAAAATCACATTGCTGGCATTTCAATATTCATTTTAGATTTTATAAATTAATCCAAATAAATACTAGGCTCTTCAATTTTTCAAAATTCTTTAGACTTAAAAAGAAAAATCTGCGCCTCTGGCCAGTGAATGTGCCACTGTTCTTTTAATTGTTGATACATAATAAAAATCCTTAGTCTGTGTACAGTATAAGTAACAAGAGAAAAGAATGCTGTTTTCCCAAAAACTATATCAAAAACAAAACAAAACAAACAAACAAACAAAAAATCGATACCAACTGGAGCTGAAATCAGCTGCCAATTATGTCATGTTTTCCTCAAAAAAGTTAGTCCCAGTCACATGCACCTACAACAAAAGCCTGAATCAGAAAGGGCAATTTGACATGTCAATAAATAGATCTTCATAACCTCCATAGATTAGAGTGAAGTTTTCTGAAAGAAGCATTCTGCTGATCACAAGGAAGTCAATGCAGTCTTGGGAAACTAAGAGCTGTCCTGTCACAGGTCAGACTCAGGAATGGCAACACAATATTGTATGATGGTCCTGAGCATATGGTACTCTCTAGAGGCATCTCAGTGCAGAAGACAGTTGATTAAAGAGATTGTTTTAAAGGCAATGATAGTCAAATCTGGAGAAAGTTGAGAATGGTGAACTAAGCAGAACAATCACTATTTTTTAGTGAGAAAAAGCATATGTTAGACCCAAAAACAGGAAATCTTTTGAAACATCTGACAATCTGATAAATCTGTTCCTATCTCTAAACAGTAACCCTATGAAAGGTACTTTCATCAGAACAAAGAGAAGGGTACCTATCTGTAATGCATTGTATACTGGGGAATATTTGGCTTCTGCTCACTCCTGGAGGACGGCACAAATTTTATGTGGTCCTTTGCACAAATCTAACAAGTCTATTTTATTACCTATCAAGACAATGCAAATTCTTCCTAACTGTCTTGAAAATAAGGAAGTGATAGTGTCTGTGCACTTGTCCATTAAGGAAGCTGAAGTTTAAATGGTATGGAGTGACTCTGGTACCTGGTATGAATGACACCTAATGCTGACTATATGCAATATTAAAAAGTAAGTGTAGACAAAGAGAAGTGAAAAATCAGCCTTATGGCATGAAAAAAACCACAGTGTGATAGGTGAACGGTGGCAGTGGTACTTTATCAGTGTTCATTGTTTCTCATTAGTAGTAGAGAAGACAAGCTCAGGTTTTCCAGCAATTGGTGTCAAGTTTGACCTCGTTCATTTTTTTAAATTATTCTTTTTCATAGAGTGATTAATACAATTATTTAATTGAACTTAAATGGAAAAAGTTACAAATATTAGCAAGAGCCAAAACATAATAAAAATGGGCCAAGAGGGAGATGAGAAAAGTGGCAGAAGTTAGCTAGCCTCAGGGAAAACACGTTACAGTCTACACATAAGCGGGAAAGGAATTATTTAGAATTGTAAAAGCAGAAATGATTGAAGGAATGAATAATGGGAATACTTGGGCTGGCAGTGAACTCTGCTGGGCTGTGACAAAGTCTCATAAGCAATGGGTGGAGTATCTCACTAAGAGCATTTAAATCAAATAGATCAAGGTAGAGCATAAAATGTCTTCTGGAAAAAATACCTATCTTAGTCTACTGGGATGAGATAAGAGAGTTTACAGTGCCCATAAATTCAATCTGTGTTTTAGCACAGGCCGTCAACTGTGATCTTGAGACATAGCTTGGCTTTCAGCTTTAGAGAGGACAAAAACAGTTGCTTTAGGGTTATCGAACATTGCTAGGTAAGAGTCCTGATAAAGCCTACCCCCGAAATTTCCTAAACAACTGTGAAGCTATCCTGTGATGAAGCAACAAATTTATGTGTGTACAGAAGTATCACCATGGTGTAAAATTTTTAGGGTCTTCTCTGAATATGGCTTTCAGAGGGAAATTTACAGAAGAGAGTATATGACTTGAAGGGAGCTGGGTCTGACTGAGGTGCCCATAAGGCTAGTTAATTTTAATTTTTGTCAATGTCTATCTTCTGTGAGAGCATGTGAATAGATTCAGATTTGTTCTTATCTCCAACTTTTCCCCAAAACCATGTATTTTCTAATGCCTACTATTAGTCCAGGACATGATACCATGCAGCACCCATCTGTGAATCTCTAATTAAGTATTAGTGATACTTGCATCATGCTTTACTCATGTTAGTCAAGATGGAGATGGGCACTTCCATTGTGTTAGATGTCATTTTCTGTTTCACCATTATGTGAATGTATTCCTTCCCCTGGCAGATGACCATACAATGCTATACGGGAACATCTTTTGTGAACATCAGTAGTGTAGACTTAAACTCACTCTGTGTGCTCACAGGATGATTCTTTCTCTGAATAAAATCATGTGTATGCACACAATTATCTGACCCTGTTGTAGTTAAACCCAACAGGCAGCTAAGCACCACACAGAACTTTGCTCCCTTCCCTCTCCTTCCCAGTGGGATGGGAGAGAGAAGCTGGGGGGGGAGAGGGTGGAAGGTAAAATTTATGGGTTGAGTAAAGACAGTGTAATAGGACAGAAAATGAAAGGAAAATAATGATAATAATTATGATAAAGTTCTATAAAAAACTGATGCACAATGCAATTGCTCACCACCTGCTGACTGATGCCCAGCCAGACTTCAAGCAGCACCCCTCCTCCAGCTCTGGCCAACTACCTCAGTTTATTGTTCCACATGATGCCATATGGCAGGGATACCCCTTTGGCCAGTTTGGGTAAGCTGTCCTACTACCCTCACAGCTTTTTGTGTACC